TTTATCTGAATAAACTGAAAATTGTAATTTTATTACAACAATACAATATGAAAATAAGCTTTCGATCCATTTTACGTAAATGGATAAGCTGTAACATATATAATACATATTTCACAATTCAAATGTATATATTTAAGTATGCATTTGTAAACGTATCTTAATATAGTTTTTTTTATAAAATCCAGTTCTCAATATAAACATTGAATATTCAATATATTGCCAAAAGTAAACATAATTTAAAATACAATTTTACCAACTGAAATTGTGAACTTATTATTACCTATACTCATATACATTATTTTATAATATATTATACAAAAGCTATATATTTGATGTTCATTCAACTTCTTATAATTAAAATTATTATTTTTACGAATATTAAAACATCAACGTTTTCAAAAATTATAAACACAATAATGCGTCTACAATTGTTTTTTTCATCTAATAACGTTATAGTAAGTAGTAATAATCTAAATTCTAAAGAGTTAAAAAAATAATTTTTACTTTACTACCCTTATTTGTTTTAATCGTGACATATAAATACAGTTTACAAAGTTATGAGTATTTTTTTTTTAATGTATTTTACGTCTTATAAGGCTCATCGCGTTGTATTTTAAAAATATATTTTTATCATAATAAAATAACGTAAGTATAGTAAAACACATATGACTTCATGAATAATATAAATATGTATGACGTTCACCTTTCTAGATTTACTCTATAAATGGGACCTAATATATTTTTTTACGCATTGTATTCCAGAGTATAAAGAAAAACAATATTGAAATAACATTGTACTACATAGTCGTTTTTACAAAATTTTAAATTTACTCTTGATAAAAATTTACATTATAGGACAATCTACTAAATTATCTTATTGGAACTTAATACGATTTGAATAATTTAGGATCAAAAGGTGTTGGTTGTTGATGTATCATTTACAATCAGGTTCACTGTTTTCATAACAATAATTATAATATTTAATTRGCTTCTACAAATATAGGGAAATTATTAAAATCATAAATTATAAGATTTGACTAATGACCATTGATACATCAACATACATAATAATTTAAGCGAAAGAGTATCAAAAATATAAATTATAATATATTCTTAAATCTGAATGATAAACATCTACCAGCTAATTTGTGTCTTAGCATTATATGAAAAAAATCAATATTACATACATTATTATACTTGGTCTTTTTGAACTTAGTTATAACAGTTGTAAAATATATGTATGAATAATCAATAACACTTTTTGTTACAGTAGAAAAGTTTTAAATAATTTTTCAGAGTTAACGCCAGGATATTTTTAACTCCAGTTACCTATAAGATAACGCGTCCCTACACAAATACAAATAGTATACTAACCTAACATAGATAATAATTATAGGATACTAATGGCTATTCGTTTTTCGTAAGCATTGACATGTCATCAGATAAGTGACGATAACTATGTATATAGAACAAATTACTTAATTAACTGTAAAAATTGCTATGAAAAGCCCTGTGTGCAGTGGAGTGCACATAAAATAACTTTAGTTGAAATTGATTGAGTACCTGTATATATATAATACCCACCTAAATCAAACTTGTAATCATTTTTTTTTTTCTTTTTCTCTATTTTTTTGAAATCGAATCCGAGTTTTTGGTTAACTATTAATTTTTAATCAAATTAGATTTTTATTCACTTTAATTTAAACGATATTTAGCGGAATTATCACCATTTTTTACCAAATTTTTTCCCAAATTTTTTTTTTTTTTTTTGTGATTTACTTTTAAATAATAGTTTTGGGTTTTGAGGTGAAGTTACATATTGATTTCATTGCCATATAGATTCTAGTAATTTTTAGATGGTGATAGCTTAAAGGAAAACACTCTCTTTGGTTTCGATCAATATTCTTCCGAAACTTAAATACAACAAATTAAGCATTACATTTTATCACAAATAAAATTTAACTAGGTACTTCAAAAGATCTAAGTATGTTTTATTTCAAATGAATTTTAAAAATATCCGAAATAACCATTTTCAAGTTAAATAATTAATAAAACAACACGCTTCATTATATAAATTATGTTCAAAAGATATCCAAACGTCTGAACTTTTCATTTATTTAATAAGTTAAATAATAATTTATAAGACATAACAGCTAATACAACAGTAAGTTATGATATTAACATACATAAAACTATTTTATAACTCTTGAAATTAAAACTAAAATTAGGTGTTCATAGTATTTGTAGGTACTCATCACAGTCGTTTTACTATAGACGACAGCTATGTGATATTCACCTATGTACGATTACATAGTATATTTTGTATTACGTGCTTCAACTGTTAGACGTTGTCTGGCTTCAATAATGAAATAGAACGTAAAAAAAATAATATATTCATAAGACCCGTGACGGTTAAATCTAAAAACACGGGTTTTAAAAGATTAATTTTTTACCAAACACGTAGGTTAGTACCCATTCGCATCCATGTTACTGTCGKTGTCGTCATCTGATGAATTYAAAGTATCTATACCTATGTGTATTGTACAAACAAAAAGTTTTATTCGCTGTCAAAAATTACAGTCACGGCTTGGCATGACTTCGAAGATACCACGTATAATCCTAAAATCCCAACACATACCTATATTTATACACTTATAATATACAAATATTCAATATAATATATATATATATATATTATGACGTAACGACGTTCACGTACGCTATAATTATAATAATAATTTAATATATGTATGCATTCGAAAAATATTTGCGAGGAAAATTTTATTTTCGCGATATATTAAAAAAATATTCAACATTTTGAAATGCATACAAACGCAATAGTATTATTACACGATTTGGTATATAATATTATACAACGAATAAAAGTACCTATTATTAATAAAGCCAATGACCATTACGTCACGTCGCGCTGAAACTTATTGTATATTAAGTTTGCATAACAAAGATTTTTCAATCAAATGAGAATTATATTTTCAAAAATTCTTTATATTCTGTAAGTACTTACTTCCATATTTATTGCCAACCCTTCCACTCATACTTGAAAATAGTATATTACATAACAGTAATTTAATAAAGTGGTACATATATTAATTAGTTAAATACTATTTTAATTTACAATCACGAAACTGTAACAATATTATGAACAAGAAACCAATTATTATTCAGTATTTCTCGTGGCATACTCTTTATATGTAATAAGCACATATCCCTAAATGAACATAATATTATATAGTTTAAGGTATTATTATAATATTATCAAACRAAAACGAATATGATTTAAACAGTTTTACATAATATATTATTATACGGAAACGTATATGTTATTATTATACTTGTGGTGTATGTGTAATAGTATTAGTCGAACTTTCGGGAGAACAATATCTGAAAGAATCCATGATAGTAAGGATGATATAATATTATACAGAATAATTATCTTCTATGTTCCATTCAATTTCAATTCATTAATTATTTTTGTATTGTATATCTTCAATTAACTTTAACATTCATATATTGTCTTAAAAAAATTCAAAACATTTAAAATTCTCAATAGCAAATCAAATATGGTATTTTGAAAATAAATGTCCTCTGAAATTTACATTTAAATAGTAGGTATCAATAAAATATCATTGACTTATATAATATTAATTAGTACACTTAGGTCTTAGACAATGACTAGTTTTTTTTTCTATTTCTGTAAATTAATTATGAGATCAAACATAAAATAAAAAAATACAAACACTAAGATTAGATCGACTCCAAGAATCTGCGTCAGTTTTCAAAAATTTGTTTTCAATAGGACAATCATGCTTATATCAAATAACAATAAGTATTTATGCTACTTGTCCACTTTCATTCAAATATTAGTCTCACAAAATTTGTGTTTTCGATATTTATTTTATTTAGCTATGAGTATTAAACTGTTAATACATTCAAAGTATACATATTTTAAATTAAAAAATATTAATTGTCATAATTCCAAAAAATATTTTAAACTGAGTGCATATCTTAAGCTATATATTTTGGATATTGATTGTAACAATTATTGACTTACTTTAAAAACTTAAATCATTATGTCATAAAACATAATAATTTAGAAAAATTAGAGAAATGATTTTGAACTTTACCAGGTTCCAAAAACTTGAATATTTATTTTTAAAATCTAAAAAAAATCTGGCATGGACGCACAGTATAAATGGGTTAACCAGTACAAAAAAAATTAAGTTTTCCCATTGCTCGATTAAAAAAAATATTTTGTATTTAAACATCTATCAAAATGATTGTTTATACTTTGGATTTTGACACGATATATATTGTAATATATTTTATGGGTATAAATTCCATTAAGCTTATGGTGAAATACAGGGTTTATTTTATGACTGTACAGTGATACTTGCGCTTTCATAACATGTAATTAAAACATACCGAAACTGCAGTATAGCTGTTATACACCATATTATCAGCTGTGTGTAGCAACTACACGATTCCACCATTGATATTAGATAGCACTTATACTGTAATAACATMAAAAGGCGACTGCAGGCTGTCTACATTTAATGTTTTTGTCTATATCACTGAAAGGTCGTATTTGTATGAATAACTCACCATAGTTTATCATCAAACAAACGATATTTTTCATTAAGCTTTTCTAATTGTACACAACGATAATAATTCCAATATTGACTTTTTTTTTCATTTAGATAGTTTGACTATAAAATATTATGGAATACATAGCTACTATGACACCAAGATCTACATCCTACCTACACGATATGTTTTTATATTTTTATGTAACACACACATAAGATTATATTATATAGGTAATTTAGATAGAAATTTAGCAAATTCTAAAAACCTAGCAAACAATTGAAAATTTAAGTTAATGCCAAAATAGGTGTTTTTAACTTATAACTTTTGATACATTATATTCTAAGGCATATGCATATTATAAATTACAAATTTATTTATGTTTATACTTATAGAGACCAAATGTATTGGAACGCAGTGCTTCTAATGGCCTGGTCTTTGGCCACGGTCTCCGCCATTTTGGATTCCACCAGGAGTCMACGTTACTGGGAGGACACGAAATCCGATGACGTTGGTCGTTATCAAATTGACAACATGTTGAAAACCTATATGGTCAAAGGAGGAGGAAATAAACATTTCGTTACTTCCGTATTCCCTGGTATTTAATAATATGTTTAATAGTAAATTATTTATAATTTTATGACACATACAAAAAAAGACGTCAACCACCTTCATACTAAGTAGGCAATCTAAATGTTTTACAATTTCTTCGTAAATACAAAAAGTAATAGTCTATAAACAAGTGAACTTAAATAAGATCTCAACACCCAATTTTTGATCCTGTCTAGCTCTGTCATACGAATTAAAAATGATAAATCTCATGACATTTTACATCAAAAACAAGACATAAAATTAATTTTATAGTACCTAGACTAAATACTGTCTCGATAACAATTTATAAATAATATAGCTTATAATAATAATACACATTATTTATT